TACATTAACCCAGACCAGGCTATTCAAATACGTATCAACCCAGACTAGTCTACCCAACTACACATAAACCCAGACTGGCCTATCCAAATACACATCAACCCAGACTAGGCTACCCAGATACATATTAACCCAGACTAGTCTACCCAAATACATATTAACCCAGACTAGTCCACCCAAATACACATCAACCCAGACTGGCCTACCCAAATACACATACATCCAGACTGACCTACGCAAAAACACATCAACCCAGACGAGGCTGCCCAAATACATATCAACCCAGACTGGCCTACCCCAAAACACATCAACCTAGACTAGGCTACCCAAATACATATCAACCCAGACTAGTCTATCCAAAACACATCAACCCAGACTGGTCTAAGCAAACACGCATCGATCCAGGCTGGTCTACCGAAATACACATCAATCCAGACTGGCCTACCCAAATACTCACCCAGCCAAATTTGCCTACCCAAATAGACATAAGCCCAGCTGGTCTACCCAAACACACATCAACCCAGACTGGTCTACCTACATACCCAGACCGGCCTACCCAGATACACATCAACCCAGACTAGGCTACCCAAATACACATCCATTCAGACTAGTCTACCTAAATACACATCAACACAGACTGGCCTATCCAAATACACATCAACCCAGACTAGGCTACCCAAATACATATTAACCCAGACTAGTCTACCCAAATACATATCAACCCAGACTAGTCTACCAAAAACACGCCAACCCAGACAAGGCTACCCAAATACATATAAACCCAGACTAGTCTACCCAAATACACATCAACCCAAACTGATCTACCCAAAATACACATCAACCCAGACTGGCCTACCCAAATACTCACCCAGTCAAATTTGCTACCCAAATATACATCAACCCAGACTGGTCTACCGAAACACACATACACCCAGACTGGCCTAACCAAATGCACATCAATCCAGACTGGTCTATCCAAATACACATACACCCAGACTGGCCTACCCAAATGCACATCAACCCGGACTGGTCTACCCTAATACACATAAACCCAGACTAGTCTACCCAAATACACATAAACTCAGACTGGCCTACCCAAATACACATCAACCCAGACTGGTCTACCCAAATACACATAAACCCAGACTAGTCTACCCAAATACATATTAACCCAAACTGGTCTACTCAAATACATATCAACCCAGACTGGTCTATTAAAATACATAATACATGTCAACCCAGACTGGTCAACCTAAAATACACATCAACCCAGACTAGTCTACCCAAATACATATCAATCCAGACTGGTCTACTCAAATACACATCAACCCAGACTGGTCTATTAAAATACATATCAACCCAAACTGGCCTACCCAAATACACATCAACCCAGACTGGTCTACCCAAATACACATAAACCCAGACTAGTCTACCCAAATACATATTAACCCAGACTGGTCTACTCAAATACACATCAACCCAGACTGGTCTACCCAAATACACATAAACCCAGACTAGTCTACCCAAATACATATTAACCCAAACTGGTCTACTCAAATACATATCAACCCAGACTGGTCTATTAAAATACATAATACATGTCAACCCAGACTGGTCAACCTAAAATACACATCAACCCAGACTAGTCTACCCAAATACATATCAATCCAGACTGGTCTACTCAAATACACATCAACCCAGACTGGTCTATTAAAATACATATCAACCCAAACTGGCCTACCCCAATACACATCAACCCAGACTGGTCTACCCAAATACACATAAACCCAGACTAGTCTACCCAAATACATATTAACCCAGACTGGTCTACTCAAATACATATCAACCCAGACTGGTCTATTAAAATACATATCAACCCAGACTGGTCAACCTAAAATACACATCAACCCAGACTAGTCTACCCAAATACATATCAACCCAGACTGGTCTACTCAAATACACATCAACCCAGACTGGTCTACTCAAATACATATCAACCCAGACTGGTCTTCCCAAAATACATATCAACCCAGACTGGTCTACTCAAATACACATCAACCCAGACTGGCCTACCCAAATGCACATCAACCCAGACTGGTCTACCCTAATACACATAAACCCAGACTAGTCTACCCAAATACACATAAACTCAGACTAGTCTACCCAAATACACATCAACCCAGACTGGCCTACCCAAATACACATCAACCCAGACTGGTCTACCCAAATACACATAAACCCAGACTAGTCTACCCAAATACATATCAACCCAGACTAGTCTACCCAAAAACACACCAACCCAGAAAGGCTACCCAAATACATATCAACCCAGAATAGTCTACCCAAAATACACATCAACCCAGACTGGCCTACCCAAAATACACATCAACCCAGACTGGTCTACCCAAAATACACATCAACCCAGACTGGTCTACCCAAAATACATATCAACCCAGACTGGTCTACTCAAATACACATCATTTCAGACTGGTCTACCCAAATACATATAAACCAGACTGGTCTACCCAAATACACATCAACCTAGACTGGTCTACTCAAATACACATCAACCCAGACTGGCCTCCCCAAATGCACATCAACCCAGACTGGTCTACCCTAATACACACAAACCCAGACTAGTCTACCCAAATACACATAAACTCAGACTAGTCTACCCAAATACACATCAACCCAGACTGGCCTACCCAAATAAACATCAACCCAGACTGGTCTACCCAAATACACATAAACCCAGACTAGTCTACCCAAATACATATTAACCCAGACTAGTCTACCCAAATACATATCAACCCAGACTAGTCTACCCAAAAAACACACCAACCCAGACAAAGCTACCCAAATACATATCAACCCAGAATAGTCTACCCAAAATACACATCAACCCAGACTGGCCTACCCAAAATACACATCAACCCAGACTGGTCTACCCAAAATACACATCAACCCAGACTGGTCTACCCCAAATACATATCAACCCAGACTGGTCTACTCAAATACACATCATCTCAGACTGGTCTACCCAAATACATATAAACCCAGACTGGTCTACCCAAATACACATCAACCCAGACTGGTCTACTCAAATACACATCAACCCAGACTGGCCTACCCAAATGCACATCAACCCAGACTGGTCTACCCTAATACACATAAACCCAGACTAGTCTACCCAAATACACATAAACTCAGGTTAGTCTACCCAAATACACATCAACCCAGACTGGCCTACCCAAAATACACATCAACCCAGACTGGTCTACCCAAAATACACATCAACCCAGACTGGTCTACCCAAAATACATATCAACCCAGACTGGTCTACCCAAAATACACATCAACCCAGACTGGTCTACCCAAAATACACATACACATCCGCTGTTCCGTGTACATCAAATGTCGTAAATGGTAGTTGTATTGATATGGGTGGATCATTCGTAATAAATTATAATAACGAAATAACAGTGTGCGACCAATACACATTATTTTAAGAGTAAATTTTGTAGATACTCTAATCACTGAAATATTTGTTTAGTAAATATAATGTAAAAAATCGCATAAAATAATATAATTTTACGCTCACCAGTGGTGGCACCGGAGAGACAGGGCGTTCGCCCCCTCCAAATCAAGCTGAAACCCTTTGTGTATTTACGACGATGCGACACAGCTAAAGAGGAATGCCTGTCTTGCCCCTCAAAATGGAGAAAATAGCGTTTCAGAGGGTATAGATTTCAAAATGTTCTCGGAGGAGCATGCCTGCCGCCGCCTCTGCCCACGAATACAACTGTTTAGTGTCACTGACGCTATTACTCATTATGATATACAGAGTTAATTATTAACCCTCAATACCAAGCGCCTGTGTATCCTGGAAACCATCTGACAGCACAACGGTGTCACAACGAAAATAAAACGACTCCAAGCCCTTGGTTGCCATTGACGACAATTGTGTATTAGTATTTACTCATGTAGCTCAGCTAGGTCATTTACCTCATTTCTATCTAACACTCGCTTGACGGAACCTTCATAGGTACAAAGAAACACTTTAAACAGTTACGTGGAATTTAAAGAGCATAATGGAAAGAAACGGCGTGTTAGGATGGAATGTCAATTCCGAGGTTGTTATTGCAGATCGCCCCTTTCCGTGGTTAGAACACATGAAAGCTGAGAGATATTGTTATGCACCACGTAAAGGTATGTACTCATCTGAATTTGCCATTCCGCTAACGCATGCAGTCCAACTATATTCTTGTCTCTAATACATCAACTTATTGGTAACACATTCACTGTGTTTATGTATACATATATATATTAAGTAAATCTGCCATGTGTTCACTTACGTGTGTAGAACTGGATTGAAGATATGGACAAGGGCATATAAACAAAACACATATTCGTATTAAGACAAGGCTATGTTAGAATATAAATAACACTGTCCACTCCTCGATTACAATCAACAGGTTGTTGTGTACACTATTCCGGTGGATACACATTACTACATTTTCAAACGGAGAAAGGCTCTCAATTCCATTTTAACAGTGCACATACTATTTAATTGCTATATCACCTCAAGTAGGCTAATTTAAACGAAACACAGCCTCCGCTGTGTATATGATAACAATTCGTTTGCCAATACAATAGGGCTGTGTTTTAAATTCAGGCAGGCCACCGTGTATGTATAAGTTTAATTATATAGTATACAATGGTGGACGCCTATGTCAATATCAACGTGACTGTACCAGCTGAACAAGATACGGGGATTGCATGGTCGTCATGGTTCCTGGGCGTGCATTGTAACGGGTCCATGGCATTCACCAATTACAACTAGGTTATCAAGTAGAACCTATAAAGTGTTTAACCTCGTAAATAGATTCTGATAGACCCACGTTTCGGGCTCACTCACGATGACAACATCTGACCCGTCATACGCCTAAGCTGGAGAATAATTTCAGTACCAATAGCATGGAACATTTATTAACACCAGTACGTGTATAGAAAACCGTAATTTGTGAATTTCCTCACTTCGCGTATAATATTGTATAAAAAACTAAGTGTTCTGGTTGCAATAAATACAAGTGTTACAAGGATCTAATTAGCGTGTTTAACGAAAGTACACGTAATTAGCAATAGTTACATAAAACGTTGTTTTGCCTATCCTGCTATATTTAGTGCCAAACCAATATTTCATATTGCTTTTATCAAGATATATATTTACATTGACTCATTATTTTGCCAGGTTTACTGCGAAACAAGAAATGGGACTACAAAGTAGATAAAGAGTTTATTCGCAGATGGGAAGGCTTCACTACAGAGGGGCACGTACCAGACGATGATGGAATAATTCCTGGTGGACACGGCGTTGTCATTGGTTATGGAGTAGATCTTGGCACCTTCACCAATACAACGTATTTTAAACATCTAGGGTTAACAAAAGACGTAATAGAGAGATTGGAGTTGTATGTTGGACTTCGGGTGAGTACGCGTTAGTTGAATATTGTCAGGAATAAGATATCGAACTTAACCAATCTGATTAAAATATGATCCTAGTTTGGGCTTTATTTATTTTTGTCTATTTTTTTTAAATATGTTTTTTATTATTTATTTTAATATGCACTTTCTTTTACTTTATTTTATTTGGCTTTATT